TCATAGGAAGCACACCCTGGTCCTGGGAGGTGGCCCTGATGATCCTGGCAGCTCATCCTCAGGCCTGGCTCGGGCCCTGCTGAGCTTGTGTTTCAGGTGCTTCCTGTTATTATTAGTATCACTGTTACTCAGGAGGATTGCCGTAAATATTAAATATACGCACATGCATTCCAGGATTCAGAGGCAGGGCGTGGCTCTCCTGCTTTACTACTTGTCGGTCCCTGGGCTGCTCACCTAATCCCCTAGATGGTGAGCATCTCCAGATTCAATCCCAAGGCTTCATTCTCCTCCCTTATTCCCCGTCCACGTGGACCTCCCACTACCTCAGCCTCCAACCTCGACCTCTGTGTAGTTAAATTGCTGCCTCCAGGTCTGCCCTCCTCTGAAATTACATATTGAGGACTAGGGGCTTGGGATCAACCATTTGCAGAGCCCCTACTATGTTGTGACTCTTTGTGACCCCATGGACTATACAGTCCATGGAATTCTCCAGGCCAGAATACTGGAGTGGGTAGCCTTTCCCTTCTCCAGGGGATCTTCCCAACCCAGGGTTTGAACCCAGGTCTCCCTCATTGTGGGAGACTATGAGCTGAGCCACAAGGGAAGCCCAAGAATACTGGAGTAGGTAGCCTATCCCTTCTCCAGTGGATCTTCCTGACCCAGGAATCAAACCAGGATCTCCTGCACTGCAGGCAGATTTTTTACCAACTGAGCTATGAGGGAAGCCCTTACTATGTACCAGGCTCTGTTAAAACCATGTCACACAAAATAGCCTCTTACTATTCCATTTTACAGATGAAGAAACTGAGGCTTTAGGAACTTATTAATAATGAGGAACCCAGAGCTGACTCTAAAACTAGGGCTTTTTCTCATGTTGTTGTTTAGCTGCTTAGTTGTGTCCAACTCTTTGCAACCGCATAGACTACAGCACATCAGGTTTCACCAACTTCCGGGGTTTGCTCAAACTCATATCCATTGAGTCAGTGATGCCATTCAACCATTTTATCCTCTGTTGTCCTCTTCTCCTCCTGCCCTTGATCTTTCCCAACATCAAGGTTTTTTCCAATGAGTCAGCTCTTTGCATCAGGTGGCCAAGGTATTGGAGTTTCAACTTCAGCATCAGTCCTTCCAGTGAATATTTAGGGTAGATTTCCTTCAAACATTTGATCTCCCTGCTGTCCAAGGGACTCTCAAGAGTCTTCTCCAACACCACATATGTGGGCATGACTAAATCATAAATATTTACTACAAGTTTTCTTCCTCCTTCCTTTCTTTCTTTTCTCCCCAAGCTAGCCAATATGGGTCTACCATCACCTCAAACTCAGTTGCTATAAAAATAAGTTCAACACTTTCACCTTCATCCTCCTCTGCTAAGCGTCCTGCCTTTGTCAAGGGCTTTGGTCTCCTCCCTAACAGTGTTCCATCCTGCTGTCCTTCTAAAATATACCTGGAATAAAATAAGTAAAATAAATCCAGGAAGGCTGCTGAGGCTGCAATGGCCACAGATGGGTGGCAGAAGGCTGTTTTGTCCGCTCCCTGCTGGCAGGCACAGTGATCCGGCCCATGTTCTTCTAGATCCTCCAAAACCACCACCATCTCCTCGCCTGCACCGTTCCAAGTCTCTCAACGCTCTTTCCCTTTCAGCGTGTTCTTCTAATATAACTGCAAGAAACTGGATGGAATCCATTTTGTTTCCACACAGCAGGAATAAATGAAATGAGTCCTGCAGGTGGACTGGATGGATGAAGAGCATGAATTCCAGAGCCTCACCTGAGGCTCCCTTGGGAAGCAGAGGGGGCAGGACTAAACCTCCAAAAGAATGCTGCCTAGGCTGTGATTGAGTAATTAGGTCTCCAAACTCCTTTGCTTCCAGGGAAGCAGGGGAAACAATTAATCCCTCCATAGAGTCACACAGTGTGACTGGGCCTCGAGTAATTGAGATGCAATGGGGCAGCAAGCATAGTTATTCTACCAAAAGCATAGAAGAAAAGTCCTGGGACTTCACACAGTTACGTTTTGGGGACTTAAGAGAGGATGACTAGAGAATGACTTCCTAAAACCTGAATCAGAGGATCAGAGAGGCAACTGAGTCAGGAAGGACTCAGAATGTCCCGTGAGTAGATTTCTCAGGGTTGGATGTTCTAGGAGAGCCAGTCACGGAAGATATGTGGATGCTAAGTTATGTTGTTGATGGTTACCAAGGACATATAAACTATGTGAATAATTTTTCATTGACTAGAGAAACTAGAATTCAGTTTTGGCAAGGCTGGGATGCCAAAAGGCAGAACTAGGAAGTGGGATGAGGACAACTGACTTGGTGCTGTGTGTGTCTCTGGAAAAAAAGAGAAAACTTGACACTGCACTTAAGATTCCCTCGCTTGAAGCAACATTTGTGTACACAGCCTTCTGCCTGCTTGCAGACACGGTCTGCCTAAGTTTTGCGAGTCAGTTGTTAAATGCAACCACTATTAAAAATAAAAGTATAAAAATTTACAATTAAATGAATTCTACTGAGACACAGGAAATAAGCATTCAAAATTCATCCTTTCCCAATTAGTTTACTGCAGTTCATGACTGTCTTAATTCTTGAGGTTATTTACTTCTGCAGAGATGGTGTGATAGTGTACTTTTCTCCTGATTCCACTGCAAGGACATCACATCGACAGCCTGAAGTCAGCCATGGTGGGAAAATTTACATCAGGGCAATAGCAAATGATACACATTAGGGCCTTTTGGCCCCCTACATGCTCAACTTCGCTCCCAAAACCACTCATAAACATTTACCACCATAAATGTTCTCCAATACTGACAAGGTTTCAAGCAGGAGAAATGAAAAAACCCAAGGTGTCCCTGAAGCAAAACCTTCAGAGCAGAAACTCCCATCCTTTCTCACTCAGAGGTGATGAGTGCAGTGATCATTTATTTAGGGATTTAGGAACTTCCTGGGCTTCCCTGTTGAGTCACCCTGCCGAAAGTTGTTTCCAAAGTCTCTCTAAAATCTCTTACTGCTTCTTAATGAGCTTTTCTTGCCAGCACCTTGTTGTTCTCACCCTTCAAAGGTAGGCTAAGTCTGAGATGGCTCCCTGGTTCCTGGAATGGGGACGGTGATGTCATTCAACACAACCTGCACAGCTGGCTGCCTCGTACCCCACTTCCTTGTAGGGAGCTGAGCTGGAGGGTCTCAGACTGGGAGAGCCCTCCCCAAGTCACCCTATTCAATCCCAAGCCTTAGGGTGAACATGTGCCAGGCGCAGCATCCTACTGAAGTTCTCTTTATGAACAAATCATCCTATAGGTGCTGTTAAATGTCTCCAAATAAGCGAGGGAGGGATGATTCCTGCAGTTCTCTGCTCCCCTCACTCAGTCCCCTTACTCCCTCCCACTGCGTCCCATCCATCCTCAAGAATCCCCACCTCCCCCCAACCCCACCCTCCACCCCCCACCCCTACTCTAAGACATCTCTCCCTGGCTCCCTCTGTTCCACCATCATCTCTCCTTTCTTTTGTTTTTCTTCAGGAGAAAGTGTGAATGCAGTCGCCCCACTAGCACAAATTATGCAATCGAGTTTCCCACATTTGAGTAAATCACAGGGGCACAACATCCAGAGTGCAATGGATGAGCCTTGCCCTGGGAAAACCACCTTCGTGATCATGGTGTCTCCCCTGCCAGGTAAGTATCATCTCTCCTTTCTCTTCCCAAACTCTATCAAGGCAGAACCAGAGATGCCATCACCCTTTTGCAAGTACCCAAGCCAACAAGAAGGGTTTCCTAGTTAGATACAACCAAGCAAGGTTTCAGGGCTTCCTCTATCAACAAACTCTGAGGTCCATCCATTCCCCACACTTCACATGGCCACAGGGTAGAAACAGAAAAACTTCAGGAGCCCAGCTTCTCCTTAAGAGAAAAAGAGGCAAAAAAAAAAAAAAGAAAGAAAGAAAAGGAACTGCTATGCTCTCAAGAGGCAGGCGGCTGGACAGAAGCAGGTAGAGCAGAGTGACCTTGAAGTACTATGCTCCTCAGAAGAGCCTCCACCCCTAAACCAGGCACAGGTTCAGTTGTGTTCCTGCTGCAGTCATCCAGTATGGAATACAGCCACTTGGTCCATTAGGGGCAGCTGAATTGAGACTGTGATGCTTAGGGCTCACTAAGAGTAGCACTTGGGCCAAGGGATAAAAACGATGTGGGGACCCAATTTGAGTTCAACAGGAAAAAGATATCTCTGACAGGCAGAGGCCAAATGGACTGATTTGGGAGGTGCCACTGCAGGTATTCGAGAAGAGGTTGGAATATCTTTTGTCAGGAATGTAGAAGAAGGAATTCAAATGTCAGGGAAAGAGCACGATGTCTGAGAGTCAAACACACCTGGACCAAAACCTGTTATTACCTGCGATCTTGGTTAAGACACTGAATACCTCTGAGCCTCAGTTGCTTCATCTATATAATGGGATATTACACCTCACAGGACGAAATATCAGAAAGCACCCGGCATTCAGAGGGTGCCCAATAAATGTCAATCCCCTTTCCATTAAAAAGGGGGCTAGGTTAGATGAATTTCGTTTTTCTACCCCAGAGTAGGACTCTGAAACCTTTCCTAGTTGTTAAGAAGGATGGTATACATCTGGGAGAGATCAGGGAGTCAGGATTTGGGAGGTGAGAGGAGAAGGGAGAAAGATGCTGCGAGTGGTCAGGGAATACTCAGAGAGGTCATGCCTGACAGTTCCTTGTTTCCTCTTTTGATTTCTGGAATAAAAGAGAAAAGCGGGATTCTGGACTGAAAATTGAGCCTGAAGAGTCTCAGTTTCTCCATCTGCCTAGGGAAAGGTAGGAATAGACAGCCCCTTCCAGCTCTGGCTCCCGATCAAGGAGGGGAAGGGGGAAACGTTGAGGAGATGATGCTGGACAACAGGAAGCAACGACCGCTCCCCTACCCCTGAGCACGGCCCACCACCCTGACCCCATGCCCAAACCTCCGTGGAACCACAGCCACCTCAGTCTCGAATCTTACATTTTCTTTATTGTGCTAACACTGCCGCCTCGGAGCTCAGATCTCACACTCACAATTCAGTCCAGATCCCCACCCACCCAGCCCCCGGCGCTCTCTGCCTTGGCTGGGGACACCGGCCTCCGGCCTCGTGCGCTCTCGGGCACTTCCTCCTCTCTCCGTCTCCACGAGCCTGGGGCTCCGAGGATGAGGAGAGGCCCCGGATGGCCTTTCTCTGCCTTCTCCCGCCCTCTCCCACGTTTAGAGGAGGAGGCTCAGCCGCTCGACTCAGTTCCCGAGGGAAACGTCCTCAGCCCCCAGCCGCCGCGCGGCCCGGAGCAGCCGAGGTCGGCGCCGGCCCGAGCGCGTCCCCAGCTGCGAGCAGAGAGCCCCGCGCCCCCCTCCCAGCCGGGGCGCAGCCCAGCGCCGCGCGCTCACACCAGGAGGCCGTCCTTGCTCTGCAGCGGCCCCTCGGCGGCGCTGCTGGCGGGCTCGGCGCTCTTGACCTGGACGTAGACCGGGGACGGGCCCGCTTCGCAGGCGGCGGCCGCGGGGGCGGGGCGGGGCGCCAGGGCCACGCCCTCCGGGCCGCCGCAGGGCGGAGGCGCGTACTTGCGGCGCAGGGAGCGGCTGACGTTCTGCGTCGGGTACCCCAGGAGGTGGGTGACGCGGCTGCCGCGCCCGCTGGCCTTGCACCCGGGCGCCACGGCGTCCTCTCTGTGGAAAACAACAGGCGGGCGGGTGAGCGGGCTCCTCCGCGGCGCGGCGTGGGCACGGCCTGGACAGAGCCGGGGGCTCTTGGCAGTCTCTTCGTCTCCCGCGCCTCCCTCCGCCTCCCCTCGCCTCTCAGCCTCTGCCTCGACCTACTCTCCTCTCTGCCCCTTCCTGGACCCGCGGCTCCGCAGCGCTCCCGGAGCCACCGTCCCCATCCTCCTGCGGACGGGGCTGGTCCGCACGTGTCCGGACAGCCCACGGCAGGGCAGGCCGCCCCCTCTAGGCGCCCTCCTGTCCCCTTCTGAGGTTTTCGCAGAACCACCGGCTCTGATAGAAAGGGAACCTTGGAGATCCAGAAGGAGCTGCTTTCCCTGACCTTCTTTCCTTCCTTAACCCTGACCTTGCCTTCTCTCTCCTTCTCTTCTCGCCTCTCCTCTCTTAATCTTCTCCATCTTTCTCTCCATCCCCAGGGCATTGCAATCATTAGCACTACTAGGCTTGTTCTGTTTTTATTTCTCGTTTGTTCCTAATATAAGTTATTAGCACTATTCTTAATATTAATGAACTCTTCTTAAGTAAGCATGTCCAAGAATTCTCACCGGCGCGATACAAGGGAAAAGTGAAAAAATAAATACAGGCCCTGCCCTCCAGGAGCTTACAGTCTAGACAAGACAAGAGAGGCGCAAAGACGCGAGGGGGGTGGAGGGCAGGAGAGCAGAAGAGAAGACTGGCAGGGGGAGGGGAAAGAGAAAAGCCATGCGATGAGGGGCCGGTTGACATGCTTGTGGTCCCAGCACTCCGTGGCGATGGTAGGCAGGGTGGGGGTGGGGGTCCCAGCCGGCCGGTGGCAGGCAGGGGTGAGAGGGAGCAGGGCGCCGGTCCCCTGCCGCGCAGCAGCATGCAGCATGCATCAGGTTTTACCTGATCTCATTAGACAAGTCGCCGCAGGCCCCTCCGCCGACCCCGCCGCCGACCCCGCCGCCGTAGCCGAAGGGACCGCGGGAGCCGCCGCCGACCCCGGCGCCCCCGCAGCAGCAGCAGATGAGCCCCCAGATGCCCACCAAGAGGCAGCCCAGCGCGAGCAAAGAGCCCAGCACTGCGCCGATGATGATTCCTATGCGCCGGGTGTCTGGGGAGAAAAGTGGAGACTAGTCAGGCTTTCTGCAGCCTGGCAGGTGCTTGGCTAACCCGGAGTGGCAAGCACAGGGCTTCTGTGTGAAAAAGAATAGGGGACCCAGGAGGTCTTAGGGCCCTTGGACACACAGTGAGGAATATATGGGGAGAGGCAAGTTAACTCCTCGTATTTGCATGTTTCTCCCAGGGCTCCCGGGCTGACTTTGGCAGAGCTATATGCACTGATGAGACCCATAAGGCTGAGCCTGCTGAGACTCCAAAATAACAGCCCAGGTTCCTCCCGTCCAAACCTCCCGGCCAAGGGGCCGTTGCCTGCACCCACCTGAGACCTTCACCTCCACCACACACACGCTGTAGCCCACGTGGTTGGCCACTGTGCACTGATACAGCCCATCATCCTTGTAGGAGATGTCCTTCAACACTAGGTCACCGTTGTTCAGGCCTGAAACTGAAGGAGCATCAGAGGGCAATGGTGAGGCCAAGGGGCCTGGTCTTTGAGAGCTTCATCCCAGCCTAGACCACTACAGGATGGCTCATGGGAGGAGGGTGTGTGTACACACCCAAGTCCGCCCCGCTGTGTCCAGGTGAGTCACCTTCCCCTGCTGAAAGAGAGGCAAGGAAGGCCCCTTTCCCAGCAACAGGAAAGAGACCTTGATTTCACTCTATGACCTTAGGGAAGTATGCCCCCTCCCTGAGCCTCGGTCTCCTCATTTGTACAGTGAGGACCGGGTTAGACCAGAGGAATTCTAAGCTTCCTTCCAGCTCTTATCATCTTTGATTGTGAGTACCAATCAGTATCTCTCTGTGCCGGCAGCTTTACACACCTCATCCCATTTAATTCTCACATGCCCTTGGAGGATAGCCCTTATTTCCCTTTTCATGTACTGTAGAATGAAACCAAGGCACACAGAGGTCAAGCCACTTGCCTGAGCCTTGCTGCCAGTCATGGTCCAGCCAGAATGCAAACCCAGCTCTATCCGAAACCATGCTCTTTCCAAATTAGTCATACTGCTTTCGACTGACTCTCCCCTTTCGCCTTCTCTTCCTCCCTCTATAGCAGCTTCTGGAACAGGCTCAGAGGAGGAGTCTCCCACAGTTGGTGCTGCTGAGGACCTAGGGAAGCCCCAGCAGGACCCAGCATCCCCATCTTCCCCTCTTACAAGGCCCCCTCACCTTGACTGATGGAGCTGTGGAAGGACTCCTGGTAGGAGAGCTCAGAGTGGAAGCTGTGTTGAGAATGGTAGGACCCGGCACGGTAGGGGTGAGTATGCCCGCTGATCTTGGCCCACTTGTAGGTGAGAGGTGGGCTGCCCCCATTGGCAAAGCACTTCAGCACCACATCATTGCCATGTGTAAAGTGGCCCTCAGACCAGCACAAGGGCACCGCAGGCCGTGCTACAGGGAAGAGGGTAGTTGTGAGCCAGGGCCCAGCCAAGAGGCAGAGCCAGGCTCAGGGTGGCCAAGCCACCGTTGATTCTGAAGTCTGGGGAAGGGGGTCCCAGAGGAGTCTGCTCATACCTTGGACAGTGATGATGACCCTTCTGGTGGCCATGGTGGTCTTCTTCACCCGGCACTCATAGGTGGCTGTGTCGGAGACTTGCAGGTTCGAAAGGGTGATCGAGGCGTCGTACTGGCTGGGGTCTGAGGCTGCAAAGCGGACCCTCTGCTGCAGGTGGGGGAGGTTGCCATGGTTGATCCTCTTGTCCTGGTAACTAAGGAACTGTGAAGAGAAGAAAACAGAGATGGTGAGACAGGCAGAGCCAAGGAAGGCCTTGTGGATTGGCTGTCTGGGCAGTTCACTGAACTTCCCTGAGACTCAGCTTTCCTGGATGAAAAACAGGAATGATAATGCCTGATCCACTGACTTTTAACAGAGTGTGTGAGATTATTTGAAATCAGGCACTCTCTGCCTAGTAGCTACCTCCCAGGGGCACGTGAGGATTAAATGGGATGAGATGAATAAAGCCACAGAGACACACAGAAGCTGGATGGTACTCAGTCAAAGACTCTCTGAGCTGGAAGTATAAGGTCAGGCCAGGACAGTGCCCCTCTTCCTTTTGGAGGGGTGGGAGGAGGTGGCCTGACTGACTGGCTTGATTGGAAATTACACAGCTCCTCCCCATTGCCCCATTCTCTGAGAAGCCTTGGGGAAAGTTCAAGGGTTTGGTTTTCTTATTTGCCCTGCAGTGTGCTAGCTGCCCAACAAGTAAATACTATGAAGTGTGGAGTAAGGGGAATCATGTACCCAGCACTTACCACATTCTCCCGATGTGAGGGGTCTGAGTTGACCTGCGTCCACTCGATGTCCAGCCCATTAGGACCATAGTCCTCAGGGTCCAGGATGTAGGGGCAGCCCAGCCTCACATTGTCACCTTCCGCCAGGTACAGGATCTCCTGGCCATCCCCGTTGATCCGTACAGCAGACAGCAGCGCTAGGACACAGGCAGGGCAGACAGGGTAAGGGGACCGGGCCCAGGGCTTGGGTGATCAGCTGCAGCCCCTTTCTCTCCACCATGCCTTGTCAGTAGCAGCCCGGGCCTCATTGGGGGTTCCTCAGGGAGTAGGGCCTGCTCTCAGAGTGTGCATGATTTGATCTCTGCATATCCGTGCCGACTTGTGTTAGCATGTCTGTATTCTGTAACTGTGTAGAATTGCAACTATACTGTTTGTATATTGTATATATATAGTTGTTAAGAATACTTGTATATGGGACTTCTCTGGTGGTTCAGTGGTTAAGAATTCGCCCTCCAATGCAGGGGATATGAGTGCGATTTCTGGTCAAGGAACTGAGATCCTATACCCTGTGAGGCAGCTAAGCCCATGCACCACAGCTATTGAGCCAACATACTCTAGAGTCTATGCGCCACAACTCAAAAAAGCCTGTGTTCTGCAGTGAAGACCCAGCACAGTCAAAAGTAACAAAATAAAATTTTAAAATAAATTATGAGTGCTTGTATGTATGCATGATTATATATGCATGTGTGGATATGTCCACGTATGTACATTGTGTGTTTCTGAGTGTTTGTGGCTGCTTATGTGTACTGTAGGGAGATTTATGCACATGACTAGGTAGAGTGTCTGCTTCCATATTTACATGACAGTCCCTGTGGGTGTGAGCGCGTGTGTGCCGGTGTGTGGAGGCATGGAGCACGTCGAGTTGTTAAATTCTCTGATGGAAGCGACTGGCTGGTTAAAAGCCACTTCTGTCTGGACCAAGTGAAGTGGTCATGTCCAGAGGCAGGAGGATGGACACCATGACCTCTGGAGTCCCTTTCCGGCCCAAAGAGCAGAAGAATGGGTAGTCTCTGCGTGTCTATGTATGCCAGTTCATGTCTGTGGCTGTGTGCCTGTGTGACAGTGTGTGCGTGGCTGTGGAAGTGCTTTGAGTGATAGTGGGTGCCTATGTGCAGCTGTGGCCAGGAGCCTGGCTGCACCCGTGTGTGACCGTGAATGGCGGTGCTGAGGCCTTGGCTGCAGTCATCTGTAGCACAGGACGGGTGAGCCTTGCGTGAAGGCATGTGGCATTGTATGCTCTGCGTCCTGCCCCCTGCGTGATCGTGTGGCTCAGGTACCGCCGCCTTCACAGGCTCACTCCACTGGGGGCCCCTCCCACTCTACCAGCCCTAACCTCACTGAGTCAGCCCGGGGTGAGGAGCCAGGATCTGGAAGCTCAGGATTGATCTCTCCCTCCCTCCCCTGAAGCCCCAGGCAGTTGCTAGCCCCAACCGGTTGGACCTACAGAGGAACACGATGTTGGGGGGTGGGGGGAGCGGTGCCCAAAGGGCCCCAACCCTGGCTGAGCGGGCAGCACGCTGCCTCCATCTCCGGCCTCCCCCTCGCCCTCGGCCCCTTGCCAGCCTGGCTCACTCTGCAAGAATCAGCGAGTCCTTTGGCATCTCGGTTGCCCATCCTGCTCTTGCCCTTATCTGGCTCTCTCCCAGGACCACCTGCATGCTTAGAGAGCATCCCACACACACACGATTACACACTGTCACAGCCAGAGAGATCAACACATAGTCACACTTTTACACGCCTTCAAAATGCAGATAGCTTCCTATGGAGTCCCACCTTCCTATATGCACAGACACTGTCAGATCCACACAGACACATAGCCGTACAGACACACAACTATACATAAACACAGGTACATATTAATCCAGAAGATACACCCACTGCATACACTGGCAGTCCCCCATGTGCATTCATTCAAGACTAAGCTACAGAAGCTTAGTCTGGTTCTTAGAGAGCCAGCAGGTGCCCTTTCAACATCCGCAGCACCGCAGGCACCACTGAACCTGCCCCTCAGGATCCCAGCTGGGCCATCAGCCTTGCCCTGAACCCGCCCCCCACCCCTGCTCAAGCCTCCAGGGTAACCCAGAGCAGGCAGACTCGCTGCCCTGCCGGGGCTCTAACGGACTCGGTGATGCCTTCTCTAGCCCCAGGCCATGCTAACACCAGCCCACTCCCGAGATAAGGATCCTGACTCCACCTGCCAGGTCCTGGGCTGGCACAAGGCAAGCCAGAGATGAGCCAGAACTCAGTGGAGTGCAGCGGCTCCACCCTGGGGAAGGACTGTCAAAAGCAACTGACCAGAGAATACTCTCCACGCCCTGGGAGCCAGCCGGGCAGGAGGGTAAGTATTCTGGGCAGGGGGCTTGGGAGGGAGGGATGGGCTGAAAGAGAGTGTCTCCACCCTGCACTAGGCAGAGTTGTCTGCCTTTGTCCCAGGCCAGGGAGCCTCACCCTAGCCTTTTAGTCTCCCTAAATCTCCCTCAACCTCCTCCCAGCCTTTCTGCACCCTCTTGCTCTCCTGGGGAAGTCATTCCTGGTGTCTCACCTTCACTCCTCTTGCTGTGGTGCTAAGGAAGTACCTCCAGGGAATGTGAGCAGAGAGAGAAGCTGGGGGGAGGGAAGAAGACCAGAGTGAAGGAGTGAGAGTTGGGTGCAGAGACTCGGAGGAGGGGCAGGGAAATCACGACAGGCTTGCCAAGGAAGAGGGCAGATGCCTCAATAGCTGGGTCTACTCTCAGCTTACAAGTCCTTTGTGAATTTGTAAGCTGCTTCCAGAGCCATGAACCCTCCTTCTGCAGATGACGGAGGAGAAGGGAAGGGAGGGGAGAAACGGCAGCCCCCACAAAAGGCATACACATGACACAGAGAGATGTGCCAGGTCCCCACAGCACAGTTTCCACAGTAAGCTCTACCAGGCCAGCTCCCACCAGACAGAGAAGGTGTTGCAGGCGTGCTACCAGAAAGGCAGTCACTCACATGCTCCCCTCTCCCTGAGCTCCTCCCCTGTGCCCCTCAGCCTGCACCCTGACCCCTGAGAGCATCTCAGCCATGTCCACCGTTGCGCACACAGATGGGCTCCTGCTAGGACTTGCCCCATCCTGGGCAGGCAGCCTCGATGTCCAGTCCGGAGCCCTGCCCTCCAGGCGTGTCCCAGGGAGGGGGCTCTGGAAGTCACCTTCCCCGCCCTCCCCAGGCTCACACTGGAGGGGCTGAGTGCTACCCTGGCACTCTCACAGCGCAGGGGCCCAGTCCTGCTGGAAGCAGCCCATTCATTCACCAGCCTGAGGCTCTGCCCTCTCCAGGCCAGTGGGGTGGGAGAGAGGCCCTCCCACTGGGAATAGCACACAGACCAATGGAAAGGGGATCTTTCCAGGCTCCTCCTCAGCCCCCACCCCCAGTTCCCATAGTAACTCCCGGGGAGCCCTATGCTCCCATTTGCAGCAAGTACAAACGTGTGTGAGCCCCACAGTTTCACGGACACAACAAAGAGACATCCAAGAACACATGCCCCAAGCCTTCAAGTGCAAGGCTGTCCTGGGGAGAGGTCCCCTTGGCAACATCCGCACCCCAGCCCAGCAGGGCGAGGGTGGGCAGCACCCTGCCAGGGAATCCGAGCGCACCTTCCAGGCTCTGTGCGCCCCTCACTGCCTTTCTCCTGTGCATCCGGCGTCAGCTGGGCATCCCGCCCCTGCCCAGCCCCATACCTGGGCTCAGGCACACGAGCAGGAGGTGGAATGCTCCTCGGACTCCCATGTCTCTCAGTTCGGTGCTTCCTCCGCCTGGGCTGGGATCCCTGTGGCCGGTGGCTGCAGGCCGGCGGCTGTGGGTGTGTGGGGACAGGTGGAGGGAAGGGGAGCGGAGGGCCCAGACGCTGCCCGGGGGTGGCAGGAAGGTGCAGCAAGTGCCCTGCTGGGGAGCAGCCGGAGTTATTTCTACAGGAGGGAGGGGGCCTGGTCCCCGCCTTGGGGAGGAGTCCCAGGCGCCCTAATTAGCAGGGTGACAAAGAGTGGCCTACCCAGGCATCACCCAGCCCTTCCCCAAGCTCTTCCCTATCCTGAGAGAGGCGCAGGGTGGCCAGCGGGACTTGTAATTAGGCACCTGTTAAACTTCTACTTCCTCCTGGCCCCATCCTCGGGGTGACAACAGTCGCCCAATTTTACGGCGTCCACGGAGCACCCCTCACCACTCATTTGTTGCCTCTTCCCTCAGGGAAATGGAGACGAGGAAGGGGAAGCCAGGCTGGGGATGGAGGGGTGACCAGGAGCTGAAGGCTGGCGCTGACCCCAGGGCACTGTGTCCGACACGCAGGGTTCCAAATCCCACCCGCTCCTCATTCCCTGACCCTGCAGACCCCCTCCCACCCAGGTGATGACCTGTGGGAAAGGGAACCAGGGAAGGGGAGGCCCCAAATGAAAGGGACCCAGGACTTCAAAGGGTGTCAGGCCTCCGGAGCCGAGAGCAGGAGGGAAGGGGTCTGTGGGGAAGCAGGGTCTTGCCCTGGCTGCCCCCTCTGAAGCTGTGCCCTGCTCCCATACCTGAGGCAAGGTCACCCCAGGTGCAGGGAGCCCTGCAGAACCAGGTGTGTTACGGGGATCCAGCCCCCCACCTCCCACACACAACTAAAACCAGTTCAGTGAGGCCTAGAGGAGAGGGCCCAGGGGTGTAGAGGGCGTGGGGTGAGCGGCCGGGCGGGTGAGGGGCTGCTGGGGAAATGAGCGCCAGGAAGGCAGGGCAAGGGGCGTGCATTTGTGTCTGTACACCCCTCCCCAGAGTGTCTGTCGAGGAGTCGCAAGCGCCCTGTACACCCTTCTTTTAGAGATCAAACGGTGCCCTTGCTTCTGGGCACAGGGAGACCAGGGACCCTCGTGACATGGACGGTCATCAGGTTGACCAAGCCCCCACCTTTCCAGACAGGTTGGAGCTGGGATGAGAAGTCCTGCTGGGCAGGGGGAGAAAATGGAGGGGCAGCCCGTGCTTGTTGGTCCTGGGGGCGGGGGGGGTGCCAGAACAGGCCTTAGGCCTCCCCTAGACTCCAGGACTGCCCCATACACAGCGGTGCCCTTGCTTCTGGGCACAGGGAGACCAGGGACCCTCGTGACATGGACGGTCATCAGGTTGACCAAGCCCCCACCTTTCCAGACAGGTTGGAGCTGGGATGAGAAGTCCTGCTGGGCAGGGGGAGAAAATGGAGGGGCAGCCCGTGCTTGTTGGTCCTGGGGGCGGGGGGGGTGCCAGAACAGGCCTTAGGCCTCCCCTAGACTCCAGGACTGCCCCATACACAGCGGTAGGGGCCCAGCCATGAGTGGCTTTATTCAACAATTCAGCCCTCTCCAAAGCCTTAAGGGTCCTGCCCCATCGCTGACAGGGGCACAGGAAGGGAATGGGGAAGAGTCTTGGAGAGAGTCACGGGGCTCAGGACGCTGCCGGGGCCCACCCCTCTGGGAAAAACAAGACAGAACAACAAGGAAGCACAAGGAGTCCACGCTGGAATCTCTGCGTTCCAGCCCCACAGCTGCACTCCCAACAATGACAGGGTGCTCCGGGGCCCACCAGTTGTACACTGTAAATGTCCGTATTTCCTTATTCACTTTTAAGGATTATGGGATTGGCCTGCACACTCTGGAGAGCACCGATCATTATTCCCACTTTACAGATGGGGAAACAGAGGTCTGGAAAAACACAAAGATTCAGTCTAGGTGATGCTGCTGGGGCCTAAGTGGAGAACAAGCAGGCATCCTGACTCTCCGTCCAGAGTGGACCAAGAAAAGGGCACAGTGACCCTGTGGGTTACTAGACCCACCCGTGGGCAAAGTCAGTGATAGGTGGAGGGGTGAACAGGTGGGGCCAGGAAGAGGGAGTCTGAAAAGAGAGGAGTAAGATTGTGGTTCCTTTAGACTGAAATGTAGGGCTGGAGTTTAACTACTGATTCTGAATTTTAGCTACTGTTAGAGTTGGAGAGAAGACTGGAGCTGAGATTAAGGTTGAGGTTAGGTGAAGTGATGAATGAGGTTGAGGTCAGATTTGAGGTTGGGATGAAAGTTAACATTGAGATTAAGGATAGAACTACAGTTACAGTTAGAACTGAGGCTAGGCTTTATGGCTGGGATTCATGTTTTGATAAGGAACGGGGTTTTAGTTTCATTTACAGCTTTGCCTGGGAATACAATTGAAGGCAGGCTTGAGATTACTTTAGGATTGGATTTACAGCTGGGTTAGACTTGAGTTTGGGATTTGAGTTAGAATAGGCTGTGGTTAGAGTTAAAACTTGGGTTAAAGTTACATAGACAGAGGGTTCATGGGGATCAAAAATGAGGTTGTATTTATGATATAGAAAGACCTCAGCCTCCATTCATTAAGTCTAACTTTGGCTAGAATTTTCATTCCTTTCTTCTGGGAGAATACCAGTGGCACATGTTCATCGGGGTTTCAAAATTTTGGAAAGAGTTCTAAATACATGCACGTCCATCTGAAAGATATAAAGCAATTGAACCCCATAAGAAATACAACCTCTTAAATTCTGCTCCATGACCTAAGCTCACCATCTGGTCAAGCTCCCAGAAGGGTGTGTGGGGAGGGGATGCAGGAAGTTATAACAGTGAGTGGGGCTCTGACACCAAATGGAACTGGACAATAGGGTCTGTCAGAGGCAATTTTACTTGGGTGAGGGTGTTCCTGGTTTTGAAGTCAAGGAGATGGGCACTGGGGGAGACCAAGGACCTAGATGCTCCTGGGAGAACAGCCACTTTTGAGGTGTCCATGCAGGGGCTCCTCAAAGTCTCAAAAGGCAGGACACATTGTTGTTCCCCTTTGACCCACTGAGGGCTAATTGCCACCTTCTTGCAATCTGGGGCCCATAAAAGAAGCTGTCCACCCTACAGGGGTTTTGGAGGGTGGTGTTGGAATGGTAGCACTGGGGTATCTGCTCAATTTTCAAAGCACAAGTCCAGCCCATAGCCCCTCCCTCTGGGACCAGCTCACAGCCCTCCTTTCTCTGTGACTTTCATCCTGGGGGAGGAGGTCCCCTCCCCCCATCCCCCTCCCCCAACTCTTCCCTCCCTTTTTCCCACCAGTCTCCACCCCAAACATCCCGCTGCCCCACCTACTTCCTTTTCATGTCCTATAAAGGTCTGGGCAGATCCAGGCAAGTATTGGGATTCCCTGTGTGCCCCCACAGAGAGAGAGAGAGATTAGGAGGAGCAGTGCTTGGTAAGGGGGCAGGGAACACAGATGCCATCCAGGTGGCCCATCCAGAAGTTAAGAGAGGGACAGGAGGCAGAAGATCCAGGCTACAATCTGGAACAGAGCACCCCGATTTCCAAAAAGGGCCCCTTGTTTTTCTTTGAGAAATCCGTAGCTCCCTGGGGGAGAATGGCCCCTCTATTGCGCGTGCACACACACACACCCCACCAGACTGGGTTGTACTTCTCTTCTAAGGCAGAAACAGAAACTCAAAGACAAAAACTTGGAAAGGCATGAACAGGAGTCCAGAGGCAGAGAGAAGAGGCAGGACAAGGACCTAGAGAGGCCCAGAGGCTGCTTCTGAGAGGAGGGGCAGCCCAACCCCAGAACATCATGGGGAGGGACAGGCGCTCCCCCTCATCTGCCTGGACCTATCCCCAACCCCTCCCCCCAGGCCTCCTAGGCTCAGCTTCAAGCTCCCCACCTCCCCTCCAGGGCCCAGGCTCACCCCTGTGACATCCAGGGAGCAAACAGCAGCCCTGGGAGTGCTGAGCAGAGAAAACCTCCAAGGACAGGGTCTGGTGGCAGGAGAGCCATGGGACAGACAGTCTCACGCTCAGGGGGGGCAGACAGAGGCGCCTGGTACGCAGTCACAGAGAAGCCCAGGAACCCCAGCGGTGACTGCCTTTCCGCCCAACTCTCAGTGAAGGTTTGGTGTCGGAGATCCGCCAGGTGAGGTCCTGCTTGGACGAGAAGAATGGAGATGCCCAGAGGTGGTAGAGGTTCTGTGATGGGAGCATGTCGAGTTCAGACAGGGAAGAGTTAGTTTAGAAAAGGCTTCCTAGGTGGTTCAGTGGTTGTGAATGTTTGGTGTCGGAGATCCGCCAGGTGAGGTCCTGCTTGGACGAGAAGAATGGAGATGCCCAGAGGTGGTAGAGGTTCTGTGATGGGAGCATGTCGAGTTCAGACAGGGAAGAGTTAGTTTAGAAAAGGCTTCCTAGGTGGTTCGGTGGTAAAGATTCCACCTGCCAAAGCAGGAGACGCCAGAGATGCACGTTCAGTCGCTGGGTCGGGAAGATCCCCTGGAGGAGAAATGGCAACCCCCTCCAGTACTCTTGCCTGGAGAATCCCGTGGACGGAGGAGCCTGGCGGGCTACAGTCCATGGGGTCACACAGAGTTGGACAGGACTGAGTGACCGAGCACAGAGAGAGGAGGATGAGGTCTACGCGTGAGGTTCAGTTTCAGGAACAAAATTAGGGTTTAGACACTGAGGCCTCCGTCAAGGCTAGTGGGCAAGAGTTTCTGAGATGTGACACCCAGGGTCTCCTTACGCCTCAGCCCAGGCTTCCCAAGGCTCAGTGCTTCCTGCTCATCCACTTCAAAAGAAGAGGGACCCGGGGAGGGAGCCTGGATACACCCAGATTTCTGCCAGCAGGAGACATCCTGGAGCTGACCGAGAGTCAGAAGAGCAGGCAGCCCGGAAATTGTCCCCATTGCTGAAAGGACTGGTCTAACCTACTTTATCAGCAGAGTATCTTAGCAAAGTGAGGCTGCTTAAACGCTATAAACTGGATTGTTATCAAGGAAACAGTGGAGGAAAGAATTCACTCTGAAAGACTATGTGAATCCCTGATGACAAACCTGAAGAAGAATTAAGAGACCTCAAGGATAAAAGAGAACTCACCTCAATGAGATCAACCATTTCTT